TTGCATATCCAAAGAAAGCAAACGACGAGAACATACTAAGCACACATGCCTTTTATCATATACTCGAACCTAAAGCCACGGGTGGGCGGTGGTGGCGGTGGCGGTGGCGGTGGTTCCAACCTTATATATATATATATATATATATACATAATGCTGTCGCTGAGCAGATCGAAGCAGTGAGTGGTAGGCAGCTAGTCGGGGTGAGGGGTCCACTTGGGGCAGGCAGGGCTGAAGTGTGCCTCCACCACGCTGGAGTCGAGGAGCTCGATGATGGGTGGAAAGGTGACGCAGCGGGGCACCTTGTATTGGTTGATGGACGCGCCCCTCGCGATGGCGTAGTCCATGAGCTCCTCGAAGGTGCCGTTCCGCACCACTCGTATCTCCAGCGGGCCGATGGAGCCGTCCGCCACCCGGCTCTGCCGATACACTGTGTTCATGGCCTCCTCCATCTCCAGGCAGCACGCCTCCAGCGCCTCCTTCTCCGGCCACTTCCCCCCCTCCCCTTCCCTCACCAGAAGCTCCCAGTAGATGACGTAGTGCCCCGGGATGGCCGTCGTGTCCGCCTGGCTCGTGTACTCCGCCACGCTCGCCCCCCACGGCTTCAGCAGCTCCGACGCCCGCTCCACCGCCTTCTGCAGCTCCGCCTCGTCCGTCTTGTCCGACTCGATGCTCAGCAGCACGTTCTTCCGCCGCACGAACCGGAACTGCGGGGCCGCGTTGTGGAAGCCGGTGACGTGGAGGATGTCGCCCACGCGGTAGCGGTACAGCCCCGCGTAGGTGGTGATCACCAGCTCGTACTCCTTCCCCACCTCCACGTCGGCCAGGTCCACGAGCTGCGGTGGCGATCCGGCCGCCGCCGCGTCGAGGGGGAGGAACTCGAAGTAGGCCATGTTAGGCATGATGGTGTAGGAGACCTCGCTGGGCTTGCACATGGGGCGGAGGTTGAGGCCGAAGTAGCACTCGGAGGAGGCGTACATGGTGCACGTCATCGGCAGGCCGCCGCTGTAGTACTCGAGGGTGGGAATGTACTGCGCCATGGCGCCCGTCACGATCACGTCGAGGTACATGGTGTTGGGCCAGATCCTGGTGATGATACCCGCCCAGTCCCCGGCGGCGCACTCCGACACGATGAACTCCGCGAGGCCGGGATCGGGCTTGAGGACCTCAGCCACGGCGTCACGGACCGCGGGGTCGGTGACCTTCGAGCTAAGGGCGCCGGCGGCGATGTCGTGGGCGAGCTCCTGCCAGTGGAGCTGCAAGAAACGGATGGCACGGAGGAGGCCGGAGGCGAAGACGGCGCCGACGCGGAGGACGGCCAGGCGGTCGAGGAGTCCGCAGAGCATCTGGGAGTACATGCTCTGGAAGGCGTCGGCGCAGAGGATGGCGGCGGTGGGGCTGGTGTAGACGTTGTAGGGGTCGAAGGGGCGGGCGCGGAAGTGTTGGCTCTTGTAGTAACTGGTGAGAACGGGGCGGGCGGGCAGGCCGCCGGGCGTCTTGCTCTCCGACTTAATGAACAGGAAGTAGAGCCCCTTGCCCTTGTCCAGCCCGGGCACGTACCTTATCATTTCAGAAGAAGAAGAAGAAGATGGTGATGGTGATGGTGATCATCGTCGTCGTTAACACTAAACCCAAAGCAAACACATGCCATTGTCATTAGCTATCAGAATTTACCTTTATTATTACGATATGTTTTCTATGTTAATGACTGAACAGACTATGCTTCTCTCACTAATTTACGATACGTTCTCTATGTTATCATGCAAATGATCCCACTAAGATTTAAAGAGTTATAAATTAGTATCTAATTATGTAAAAAAAAATCCAACTTCAGGTTAGTATTAATTCACTACTCAATAATGATAGATCTTTTACATTTTAAATAGGAACACTTTAGGTTTAATCCATTATGATGGATCAGATTCTCCTAAAAGATAAAACGTTTCTTTGTCTCTATTATGATACTATAATGAACATGTAGATCATGCAGTGGAGAGAGAGAAAGAGAGAGAGAGAGAGAGAGAGAGCAGCTCACAAGTTCATAACAGGCATGAGAAGACTGTAGAGGAGCTGCCGCCGGTCCAGCTCTTCTTGGATGGTGGGCATCAGCTTCCGCTCGCCGGCCGACGTTCCCGAACTGCAAACCACATCCCAGAAATGAATCGCTTTCTCTCAGGTCAGCCCTACGTTAGCCTCAAACGACTCGCCGACAAATAATACACTAAGCGATCGACCGAAGACCACCTGGTCAGGAACTCCGATATGGGGTGGGCGGAGAGTATGGCGGAGCGGTCGCCGTTGGCGATCCTATGGATCTCCGGCTGCAGGTCCTCGTAGGTGACCATCGGCACCTTCGACTTGAACGTCTCCCGGTCTGTCGCGCCGCCGAGATTGTACCTCTGCACGTACTCGGTCTCCGCGTTCTGGCTCAGGATCTCCGTCAACACCTTCTCCTGCACCTCGTCCGCGTTCGTGGTCATCTCATCTATGAACTCCAGCTTCTCCGCGTCCTTCTCGCAGGCCGCCGGGCCCAGCTTGGACGAGGTTGCCGGCATCATCCCCATCGACCGTGATCAAGCTCCAGATCCGGGGGCGAAGAGGCGAGTGTGAAGGAGGTGTGGGTGTGGAAAGGGGAGGGCGAGGGGTATTTATAGATGGGAACGGGGATAGAGCCATGCACGTAGGGGCGCAAGGAGACGTAGGTGAGGTCGGGGCCGTGTAGGGCGGAGGAGGGGGCAGAGGGTGGCCCAGATGGCGTCAGGTGGAGGGATCGGAGCGGACAGGCGGGCCCGGTCTACCCGACACGTACGCGCCGGCCACGTCGGATCCCTGTCGCGGCCCGCGTCACGCACGGCGCCCGTCGTGGCCCGCGATATCGACGCTCTGCCGGCGCCACAGGAATCTGCCGTTCCAGCTGACGTCCCTCCCTCCCTCGGACGTTGTCCTCCATGTCAAGCAGATGCAGGGAGAAGAGGACGTGGGGGTTTGCCTCATCACGCCGCGTGTCGACTCCAGGGCGCCCGGCCTCCCCTGTCCGCGCGCGCAGAGCTCATCCATGGCCGCCGGGGAAGAACTCGTGTGTCGGTACAACACTCGGATATATATATATATATATATATATATATATATATATATATATATATATATATATATATATGGGTAGGTGCAGGAGAAGATAAAGGATCGATATAGCTATGGTTTATCTTGAGTGTATGTATGTTGTTGTCTGTGTCAGTCATAGACTGCAGGCTATCAGACTTCCAAACATGGGGGGGTTTCTTCCAGAAATCCACAGTCCAGCTTAGTCATTGCATGGTCAGAGGAATCAATGGAGGTGATTTGGTTGGGCTGCAGCATCATGCTAGGCTACTGAAACAAGAGCTTTAGGTTTGCTAAAACAAACATATTCCTTGGGTTCATCTGCTACCTCTCCAACCATACACACTTATCCTCATGCATTCAATGTACATACTGTGTCTGCAAATATTTAACCCCTTCTCTTTCTCTGCCTACTGAATCACCTCACATTAGCTGCCATCCACTGAAAAGAATTCTTCCCTTGTAATATTAGAGTATGATTTTATTGGTGTGGTGCAATGTACTCTCTGTGAGGATGTAGATTGCCTGTGGACATATGATGTTCATCAAAGGTTTCATGGTACATGCTAACATTAAAATGTTGAACTCTAGAGAGAGGGAAAGCTGACTCTCTTTTCTCTCTCTTCTCTTTTGTACTCCCCCCCCCCACCCCATCTTCCTAGGGTTTTTATGCATGCTGCTTTCCATGTAAAACTTCAACTGCTCTCCATGTCTGATGCTGAAACCATTTGTGGTTTGGTCTTATCTTAGAGAAAGGAGGGCAAGAAGCTTTCGAACTTGAGGATTATTAGTCTACCTAACCAGAGGTTAATCTTCAGACCTGATGATATCACAGTGTGAAGCTTTTGGATCAGCAAGGTGTAAAGGTGCAAGAAGATTCTGATGACCGAACTGCTTCCTACTCACCCACTTTCATCTGCACTGTTGCTTGCGTGCCCTGTCACTACAGCCACTATGTTTCAAGATCAACCAGGATTGACTTGGTCAAGGCATGACAATAATTCAACATCTTGGTCTCTGATTTGGGGACATATCTTCGACAAACACACACAAAAAAGAAAGAAGATATGCAGGCTTGATTCAGATTAGGACTCTGTAGATGATCTTAGGTTTTCTGCTTGTGTTCCTCCAAGTCTAGCTACAGAACCTGTGACTGTTTCACATCTCTTTTTGTGTGCTCCTTCCATCTGCCCTCAGAATTCATCTCCATTTAGTTGCAGGCCATGAAACTAGTAAGAGAAGCATGTCTTATCCTCGGAAAGTTGGTCAGGACGAACTTACCTCATGAGATAAAAGAATAAGCGAAAAGGATTCTATGATACAGGAATAAAAGTGTAAATACACACAAAAAGAAAAAGGATAATTCAAAAGACAATCTATGATCAAAGATAAAATAATAAATGATATCTATATGCGAACAGAGTTTGTCATTATCACTCTCAAAATCTTTTTTGTTTTTCTGTAAAACAATAAAAAATTTCCACTACAATAAATTCAATCCAAATTATCTACCAATAATGATAAGATTATCTAATTTTTACTTAAGTAAATATGGTTCGATCGAAATTACTTATGATGACCTGATTCTTCATGATAAATATCTATATGAATTATCCAACTAGAGTGTAATTTATATTAAATTACTTATATTCTTAACATGGAAATAAAATTTTAGTAATAATAAAATTAATTTTGGCAATTGAAGATAAGGAATGGGCCCATTTAGGCCATTTACATGTTGGGCCAATGGGGCCCATGAATCCACTATTTAGGTGGGGGCCCGATTCTAAAGCTTCCTCTGTTGGCTTCACCGCCCACCGCCGTCGTGTTTGCTCTTGCCCTTCGAGCTCGATCGTCCCAATACTAGCATATAAGTCGCGCCACGCACCCCCACCCTCCCCGTCCCTTAATCCCACCACCACACACCACCCCCCGGCCCCGGCGGCTCTTTTTCTTCCTCTCTTATCGGTCGATTCGATCTATCCTACGGCGGCAAAGGAACAAACACCTGCCGAGCGCAGCAAGCGGCGTCACGACCAAGCCAAGTAAGAACGAGGATCAAATATTTGCCGCTTCTCCTCTTCTTCTTCTGTGTCTGCTCTTGCTTTTCTTGAAACCTATTTTCTTATTTTGTTGTCTTTTTGGGCGTTTCACTTCCTTCCGATTCGTTCTGGATGCGAGAGAAAGAAGACGGCTTTCGCTGTGGTCTTTGTCTCATCTTGTGCCCTAGTAAAGGGAGAGTGCGGAGAACCAAGGGTTTAGGAGCGGGATGCGATGGTTCCGTTGTGCTTTGAGATCCAGCATGTTTAGTCTTGGATGAGGGATGAGAGTTGGTGAGCGAGCGAGTGAAAGGAGGAGCTGTTGCATTTGGGATGTGGTCGACTTGATCGGTTGGGTTAGATGCGGGACGGAATGGGTTCGTGGGGGTCTCTCGAGCTGCTTGATTGTTTGGTTTGCGGAACCCTAAAAGTAGGATTTTCTTCAGGAAGAATGTTGTGGGAGGATATCGGGCCGTGTAGCAGAAGATTTTGTGGAACAAAAAAAATATGCATTTAGTCTTGTGAGTCGGTTACGAGTACTTTTGGCACTTACAATCGCATTACAAATGGAGAAAGCCTTTTGCTGATGGAATAATTTTCTTGGGCATACCTCGTGTGACAGGTAGACCTATGGAAATTTTGTACCCACATTCCTTGAGGGTAAGGTTGTTTTTCTTTGATTCACGGAAACAGTCTCTTTATATATTTAATACTTAAAAGTTAAGGATGCGTACATTGATCTTTCTCAGATCTTCATTGACGGGAGCCTCGTGTGCTAGATATACTCTTTTATTCCTTAAGTATAAGAACGGAAGCAGTGCTTCAGCAGGTAAGACGGAGCCACGGATTTATAGCTTGAGTGGCACTTGGAGTGTTCTCCGGATCTTGGTTTCCTTATTCTTATTTATTATAATTATAACATCTTAGTATCTAAAATCTTGTGTTCTTTTTGTAATGGCAATCAAGCACTTCCTTTGTACATAAGGAAGCATACTGGCCCTTTGCTCATGTGGGAAGAGAAATGTAGCAAAGATATGATGTATATGTCCTTACTTAGATTTACAATATCATACAATTGGTGGTTTTGAATGCAAAATTATATTTCCAAATCATGCCCTAGTTAATCGTTACCCAACTTTCGGGTGAATTCATTCTTTAGTCTTATCTTTAATTATATATTTAAAATGCCATCTTAGCTTTGAAGCGCACATGTTTCTTAGTCTTTAACGTGACATATGTGTTCTTCAAAGGGTCAAGAGATCCTATGACTAGAGGTTGGTAAGGTATGCTGAGCAACTTGTGCGAAATTGTGATGCAGGACAAAGATGGCAGGACGAAATAGTGAGTGCATAGGCACAATATGAGTGCCAAAACTAAAAATTGGGCTTTCTGAAATTTCTTTCTGTCTGAGTTGAGGTTGCAAAGAGCAAAATCTCAAGGAATTGTTGCTTTTATTGAAAGGGACCTAAAGTTACGGTCCTAGGGATCTTTTTTTACTAAATTACAATGTACCTAGTTTTCATATTAGCCTATTATGTTTCTGAAAATGGTAGTAGTAGCCTGTAAATAATTTCTCTGGAATTCTCAGCAATATTATATTTAATATTTCTCAGCAATATTATATTTAATATTTCTCAGCAATACTATATTTAATTTTTTGTTTAACATGCTATTTCTTAGGTTTTTTTTCTTCATGATGACCACATAAATCTCCCATGTAAGGATTATTAAACCTGTGACCCTTTAAATGAGGCTCGGATGCACCACCACCCTAGTAAGCCATGAATTCTACAACCCATGCAACAGTTAATTTTTTAAGAGTCTGTGCTCCTGTTATTTCTCCCACTACTGGAGACAAACACAAGGTCCTAGCCTGGACTTATTGTAATACATTAAATCTTGTCCAAGGCTGGTCATCACATAACCAACTTTTTGTCAATTTACTTTTGATTCTCTATTCTTGTCTTAATAACTACAATGTCATTTTTTGTTTACTATGAGTTTACCTTGATATTTGTGGACAGGATGTGACTTGGTATTGCATCTGTTTAGGGTGCTATACCCGTTTCTCTATTTGGAAACTTTTTATTGACGTGATTTTCCTTTTTCTTTCACGACAAAAAAGTCATTGAAAAACTTCTGCTTTAAATTGTACATACATGTGCCCCTGAACTGGTACCAGTTCTTGATGACCTGGGGAAATGTAGTTGTTATGCTATTCATTGTAGCCTACCATGTGCAGAAATTCCATCATTTCACAGGCCAAATGATCAGAATACACATAGTACGACAAAGATGGAGATATTTTTACTATTATTTTCTTCTATGCCTTGGTGACAGGCTCAATATTTTTCTTCTTTTATTTCAGATAAAATTGTTGAGGAACATTGGCATGATAAAAGATAACCTATTATTGTATCAAATAGTTCTTGGATAGCAAATAAGGAAAATAACTGCACAGGTGACTGATCCTGTATCATACACAATCTTTTCCCAGAAGCAATTGAACTTGTGTTTAATATTGGATAATCCATGCCTCTGTCAGCACTCAGCACCATTATGATGAACGATTCTGATAATTCTGGTTTCTTTTCCCTATGAATGGTTCTTGTGTTCTTTCATAGGCAACTATGGCTGTATTTATTTACACGTTTCTTATTGTTCTGTTGTTGGTACCAAAACCCCAGAAATTCAAATATTTTCTGCTGAAGAAGTTGAACACTTCGATGTCTTTTTTTTTACTTGAATGGCATATGTACAATCCAAAAGAGCATCTATGCACTGATCAAGGTAGCTATACATCCAAGGAAAATATAAATATTCACAGAACAAGTTGCAAGTCAACGATGCGTATCTATATCTAACAACATGGGAGAAAATTTTATTGAACTGACCTTATCTTCTAAATAAGTTTAAGAAAGGATTGTGGTATAGGATCCATCATTGATTGACAAAGATAAGTTTTCCGTTCATTAACAAAATATGGCTATATTTTTTGGGATACTTTTGAGCCCATAATCTCTAACATTGAAAATTGTAACCCTCTTGGTACACTAGCTTCTCTGTGGAAATGTATGGTTCACCCTAATAATCCTGCATCATTTTATCTGAGGCTGCAGCATGACCGATTTTCTATAGAATTCACGATACATTAAAATCTTATTCTGGCAATCAGGAAGTAGTATGGCTTTTAGTCCTTAATGTTTTTTTTCCCTGTTTCTTGTCTATGTTCTTGGGGTGACTATAACAAAATGTCCACTACTAATTATAATCATCTTGAGAGCTGGGTGCATTTGCTCATTTACTCTGCTCTTGATCAAGTATATATAGATGCCAAATCTTTGGTTCTGCTTATTAAGTTTTCAGTCATGTTCAAGGTGTCATATTCTATTTGGTATGAATATCTGAATTTATTCCTTGATAAAACTTGCAGGTAATTTTTCATTTCATTAGTTAATGGAAAAGGGTCCAGTACAACTTGTGGCAATTTTTTTTGGGTCCATTCAGCAGTAAAGCCTTCTAGTACTTCGATGAATTGAAGCTTTGTGTTGCTTGCATATGGAGCATGCTTCTGGTGAGATTGGTGTGCAGGAAAGTTTGGTCACACTTTAATAGAAATCAATAATTGTTTTATATGGAGAAAGATCCTAAATCTGATGTCGAGGTGAATCATTCTAGAGAGTGTAAGGTTGCAGCTCTTGGACATGCTGATGATGGACGGAAGACAAATGCCAACCATAAGAAAAATGACAGATGTACACCAAGTGCAAAACATAACTCAAAAAAACCAGTTAGGAAAAGGAAAGAAGTATCTCAAAAAGTGAATTCTAAAAGATATTCACTAAGGTCTTCACTTGATGATGTCAGGATTCTTCGATCGATGACAAATGGTAAAGATAAGACTTCCGCAGGGTCATCGAATTCCACGGCCATCTCCATGACAAAAACAAGGAAAAAGAGGAGGAAAGGGGAGAGTGCTCTGAATAATGAATTTTTACTAATTAAAAAACGTGTAAGATACTTGTTGACGAGAATCAACTACGAACAAAGCCTGATTGATGCATATTCAAATGAAGGATGGAAAGGTCAAAGGTTCGTTTCTTTGATAATCTCACTTTAAAATATTCTCTTCTGTATCTTCTCATCTGTTTATGCTTGTAGGAAATGCATAAATTTTTGTTCACTAAATGATGGTAACCAAGATGACTATGTTCAGGCAGATTTGCAGGTTCACTATAAAAGATAGAGGAAGTAATGTTTTTGTTTGCCAACAAGAAATTGTATGGCCCATAAAGAATAAAATGAAGTAAACCATTTAAGAATGTTCCACTGAGAACTATAGATGCATTGGTTAGTCATGATTAGTTTGACTAGGAAGGTTTAGGAAAACTTATAGAAAATAGAAACAGTAAGAAGAGATTGGACTACTTTAGTTCGAGTAAGGATCCTTGTCGACGCAGCTCAATGGTGGGATGATGTCCGGATAGCTAGCCCCTAATAGTTTGGACATTTTTCATCGTGGTTGTGGTTGTATATCATGTAGTGGTTGAGTTTTGATTTCCTTTTTTTTAGTGGTCTTTGGCAGAGTTTATTTCACTGGCAATTGTATTAACTCTCGTGTATTTGGTAATTTGAAGAGTTTCTTTGTCTGAAGCATCTATGCTATGATTGCTATCATTCTGCCTTTTTTATATACTATCACTCTTACATCAGCTGTAGCATCCATTTATTGTTTTTTATGTGCATAAATGCATCTATATATGCAGTTTGGAAAAGATCAGGCCTGAGAAGGAGCTTGAAAGAGCCAAATCAGAAATTCTACGCTGCAAATTAAGGATACGTGAATCATTCCGGCATCTAGATTCCTTGTTATCTGAGGGAAAGCTTGAGGAGAATCTGTTTGATGACGATGGACAAATTGACAGTGAGGCTGTCTGTGCAACTCACGGGAGATTATCATTTCACATTATTTCTTCTTTTATATTTCTAAATCCTACTATTGGATCTTACTGATTTCTGAACTATCTCTCCATCTTACGACAGATATTTTGTGCAAAATGTGGTTCAAAGGACCTGTCTGCTGACAATGATATCATACTGTGTGATGGCAATTGTGACAGAGGTTTTCACCAGAAGTGTTTGAACCCGCCACTGGCAACTGATGAAAGTAAACATCACAGCTGCTTTAGTTTAGAATTTATTTGATGTTGGCTCTTTACATGCATTTTTAATTATCACTGAACTTGTTCTTGCTTTCACCAAGTTCCTCCTGGAGACCAAGGATGGTTGTGCCCTGCGTGTGATTGCAAGGTGGATTGCCTTGACTTGCTTAATGAATTTCAAGGAAGTGATCTCTCAATTGAGGACACATGGGAGGTAAAGGCCATTGATTATTCACATTGTTCTTTCCCTTCATGAACTTATCCATGTTCTTCATGCTAATGGGCATATTCTGACTTGGGTCTGCTGCTTTTTCCTTCAGAAAATTTTTCCTGAAGCAGCTGTTGTCGCAAATGGGAATAAACAATTTGATGACTCCAATGATTCTTCAGATGATTCAGAAGATCATGATTATAATCCTGATACCCCAGAAGTTGGTATTGAAGATCAGGAAGAAGGATCAAGTTCTGAAGAATCAGATTCTATTTCATTGTCTGAGGAGGCCCCAGGGTCTCCCAGACACAACAACTTTAATGATCTTGGCCTTCCTTCTGATGATTCCGAGGATGATGATTATGACCCTGAACGTCCAGACCCAGATAAAGATGTTCAGAAGGAAGGATCAGACTCGAGTGAATCAGACTTCACATCAGACTCTGATGAATTCTGTGTTGAGCTTAGTAAAAGTACCAATATCAATGAAGAATCATCATTCTCTTTATCCGAACCCAAACTGCTTGATGGTTCTTGTGAGGGGAGAGATGAAACGCATGAAAGCCCAATAAATGCCAAGCCTCCACCTGTAATGGAGGGAGAACCTGGTCAAGTGAACACTTTTCCAGTGTCCAAGAAAAGGGAGCGGGAACATTTAGATTATGAGAAGTTATATGATGTAAGTATTCTTACCTGAATTGTACGTCCAACTTGAATATTAGTACCAGAAGCTTGATCCTACAGAATGTGTACCACATAAACAAAGACTCATCTAGCTGATGCAATTTGGTTCCTTAATTATATGCTTAAGGTTTTATTATTCGATGTAACAAAAATGGTCAAATAATGGGATTCAAGTGGTTTATGCAAGATTTGTTGAGAATGCTTTTTTTTTTTTGCAATATTCTTCAATACCATTTATTCCTAGTAATTGTTTTCGTGTGTGCTGGTTCTTGTTTTTCCTTCTTTATCTTCCTTACATAATCTGCTGTTGCACAATTAATTTCTTTAGATATCGAGTAGGTCAAAATATTATTCATCCACAGCGGCAAAGCTAAACGAAGAATTCAAGTGAGCTTTCTTGCTGCACTTTTACCATCATGATTTTTCTGTTGGTTAGATTTGTAGAATTTTTTTTTCTTGCCAAATTCCTCCTAAGGGAAACTAAGTGTATAAATTAAGTTTTTCCAATCCTTGTTCCTCAGCCAACTTTCATATCTTCAGTTTCACATTCCAGTTAATGTGGAAATTAGTTTGATCTATTCTACTATTAAAACTCTCAGCTAGATACAGATGATTCCGACAGACTCCTAAGATATGGATCTTAGGAGCAATTGCTGTTTGTGCATCTTTTCAGTGGTTTGCTTTTTCCTTGTCATCAGAACACATGGAATTTTATCGAATTATCTCTGAATGAAAGAAATGTTGAAGCATTCTTCCTTTTAGTCTTAGATGATCCAGATATTGTACAAGACTCCAGGCAACATAATAGAGAATGAAGGCCAAGTTATAGTACAAGTTTTATATAAGGTTTGCCATGGTCTTATTTTACTATGGCCTTCATGGTGTTCCTTTGTGGAGCATTGCACATTCTTCTTGCAGCTAACTATGCTGGCTTACATTTTCATGCTTCTCTTGATCTGTCTTTACTAAAGCTTATCTCAGTTTTGAACTTCTGTGGTGTCCTATATTCTGTTTCAAGATGGTTAAATGTATACTGCTTAAAAAACCTGAACACCTTCCTTTTCTGTTTATTTTCTTCATATTTCTATGTCAATCTCTTGTCGACTCACTGAATTTATCTATATATCTTTGTTTTCTTCTTTTATTTTCAGCACAACAAATGCATATGGTATTCTTTGTTTCTTGTTTTCAGCTGCTTTCATAAAATTGAGCATATACATATGATGTTCAAGTCTTCTTTATGTGTATGATCTGTACCTGCTTCTGATTTTCATGTCTTGAATGTTGAAGGAGGCTTATGGTAAAGAGTCACCTGTTTCAAGCAAAGATGAAGATTGGTCTGAGGAAAGTGCAGCAAAGAAAGCTAAGAAAGATGATGACAAAAGAGAAGATGCTAAATTGCCAGGTGCAAAAGCTCAGTCTGCCAATAATAGAAGAAGTTTGGGCATCAAAGGCAAGGTTGAGGACGATAATGAAATAGACTTGCCAAATTTAGACCAGCCACAAGTTTCAAAAGCAACGAGTGAGAGTACTCCTGATAAAGGACATGAGAACCTGGTTGAACAGTGTGATGGTGATCAATTGCTTGGTTTGGATGGGATCACTGTTACTTACTCTGCAAGAAAATATTTTGGTCAAGAGACATCTCAGGTATCACTTTATGAATTTTCTATGCTGAATATTGAAGGAAAATCACTAATATATATAGCCACATCTATTGTTCCCTTCTGGACTATGTTGGTTGCTAATGATTAAGATTCTTGTAATCCCTTCCCCAACTACATTTACTTGGATTTAGGTGTTGGATTTCCTGTGATCATGCATGTAGATACTGTTGCAACTTAAGTTCCCTAACATAATTTCTACTCAGGACCTAACCTGCATGCAGACTATTTTGTAAAGTAAGGCCACTGTTTAGGTCATTATCTCAGTTACCCCTTATTGCCAATTTACTTCCATAGCCCTTCCACAACCCATGGTCATTGTATTTGTCATGCCTTCTGCTGTCCAGCCTTGCCCTTGGTGCTTGACCAGTCATTTAGTATCCTGCCAGCAGCACTTCTCATAAGAATTAATATCTCACCCAGGCACCACTGCATCCTTGCTCGCCTCTTGCCATCCTCGTAGACCATTACCCACCTTCAGCTATCATTCATGGTCTTTCATTTTATTATTATTATTTTTATTTGTGGTCTTCCGTTGCTGCTAGCCATTTGTAATCAAATATAGAGGTGTTGCTTTGATAAGGTTGGTCCTTTACGACCAGGTTTAAGATTGCCACTCTCCCCAGATCTTGTATTGGTGGGAGTCTAGTGAGGTGGGGGTGGAATATTAATATTTGAAAGGGACATCTGGTTACATAGTTTTCCATTAACATCTGTCGTCCTAAAGCTTTCATGGGGATGGAATATATATATTTGCAATGCCTCAACCATGCTACATGTTTTTGGGAGTTCTCAGATAATCTGCAGCTTCGTCTAGAAAAGAATTTTGTGCTGCCAAAAAAAAATACAGCCTCACTATATAATGCTTTTGGTACGGACAGAGCCCATATAAATCTTTTACTTAGTATGAATATAACAACCTGTTTTTACTTAGTACGGACAGAGCCCATATAAAATAGATGGATGCTTTAATTGAATGTGCGAAAAATTTGCCTTACAGGAGCTTCACATTCTACCGACAACTTTTTGTTTTTAAGTTCATTATAAATTAGTATATTTTTTTTTATGTTACCTATAAGGTGTAGTTACTTATAGGATGAAGTGAGGGAAAACCAAACAAGGTGGATGACAAATGTCGAAAGGAGAGTCTCAAAAGTTCTTGCAGGACAAAATGAGTCAACTCAAGTTAGTGATATTGGAGAGGTAGAGGATGATTCTAGGAGACGTTTTAGGAACAACAAGAAGGGATTTGGTGGTGTATAGTTTGACTAGACTAAAGAAATTGTTCTGTATATTGCTTTATTGTGGGAGAAGTTCCACATGTCAAATGCAATATAGTGGGAATCTAAGGCTTGTTCTTGTCGCTCGAGTATCTTGTTCCATTGTCCATGTGCAACTAGCGTTTCTTGACAACTTAAAAAAGATGCAAAAGAGCTGCTTAATTCTTGAAGCTAGGTTGATTGTTGGATGCATCACCCCTTTTGGGAAGAATGATTGATGCCTTTGTTTAGACGTCTCTTACTTTGTTGTATGAAATGGAATTTAGTCTTATAGTTGTGCTTGTCTACCGATGAACTTGATGTGTTAGTTTTCTTGGTTTGGAAGCTAGATTTACACTCAAATGATAACACATTGCTTGGATACTACAAGTCTTTGAGTAGGGCCCTCAGTATTCTGAAAGACTGATCAAACTGTAATAATGAATTTTCAAAAGTTTCAAGTGTCATGCTGCTAATGATTATTGGTGAAAATGATTTTTTTAATAATTTTATGCACTATTACATATGTCTTGCCTGAGAAATGAAAGACTTAAGCTCTTTTTATATGTCTGCAGAAACTTCAGGAAATCTTCAAAGAAAATCAATATCCTAGCCGTGAAACAAAAGAAAATCTTGCGGAAGAACTAGGGGTGACTGCTAAAAGGGTCTCGCCCCTCTCTCCATTTTCTTCTCTTCTTTCATTGTCGATCTTTCTTCTGAATGCTGAGTGATTGTACCACCATGATGCTTCCTTTGCAGATCAGTAAATGGTTTGAGAATGCTCGACATAACCTGAGAGTTTCTGCCAAGGGATCTGATCTTCCAGGAACTTCTGGAGCAGTTTCTGATAAAGGAACCGATCATGCAAGGACTTCCATGTATAAAGGAAACCCCTTCATGGAACCCAGCAGAAAAATATCTGAGTCGAGCAAGGGGAATGCCGAGAGCTCGGCTGGGAGCACTGAGAAAATATCATGTAAAGCAAATAATCACAAGGATCAAGTCGGGTCTGGTGCAGCTGATAAATTGAAAAGAACGGTGGACAGCAAAAGGCAGAAGGCAATAGCGCGCGAGTTGAGGAAGATAAGGAATGGTAGGTAAAGATTCTACCAGCGTTTTGGTGATCGCTTGCCTCTTGCAAGATAGTAGCGCATTTTGATTGCTGGACTTTTGAGGTATTCTTGGTGGCGTGACGGTTGGACGTGTCGGCAGTCATGCACAAATTAACATCCACGTCGCCTGGCATTCTCCGGATGTTGTGTGTTTTTGGTTTTATCTTTCTCCTCCTCTGTTTCCCTTAAAAGAGGTTGCGGTTGGCCATCGAGGCCAGGAGGAGATCCTTTGTGTCTGTACGCTAACCTTAGCAGAAAAGAATCGGATTGTTTGTACCAGGCATAATAACTAGTTTTACCTTGGAAATAGCATTTACGTTACTGGCTATGACACTGCTCTCATGATGTGCCTCAATCTGTATTGTTCCTCCGATGTGAATCGAATGGTTCAGATTCCCAGGTGGGCTCTGTGTTAATGGATCTCGAGAATGGGGTTCGCCTGTTCTTTTTTGTCTTCAGACAGAGTTGCAGATTGTTCTTCCTGACTCAACTCACTCTCTGTGTTCATGTCTGTCGCGGTATTTGCCGCTGCCGAAAGGTTTGGATGCCCATTTAGGAGGTACAAACTTGGGTACATGCCACGATTTTCGCATAAATGAGAAAAAAAGAAAAGAGGGTAGAAATAAATATGGGGGAATAATTCATGCGCTCTATCTATGATTCATTCATGTCACGAGAATTCAATGTTCGACTTACGCACGGTTGGCGCACCTCTCGTATGCCATCTAGTAGAATCTGGTAACCGCGCGTGATAATAAGGAACCGAAAATAAGATCGTTTTGGAAGGATTTAATTTTTCTCGAGGCTTTTCATCCACCAAATCGACTGCGGTAAGCTTACCTATAGGTTTGCGGCTCCATTAACCGTGTGTGATGATAAGAACGCAAAATAAAAAAAGGTATCAAGTCGAAGAAAAATTAATTTTGGAAGTTAGCTCCACGAACACCGAATTGCTCGAGTTGCTGCATGGGACTAATTCAATTTGCTCTTGTGGAGGGGTTGTAAGTGATGAATTTATTATACAAAGTGATGATTTTATTGATGTGATATCTATTTATATAGGTTACGAGGAAAATATTTTTGTATGTTTAAATCATGTATTCAGATCAATCGAGGCTTAGAATATTAACGAATGCAAAGTTGTCATTCCATATGTGTTTGTATCGTAATCTTATATCATATACTTGTAATCTTATATCATATACACTAATCTTATATTAATATAATTGAGATATTCTATAGGTGATTGGCTTTGCGAGCGAGTTTGCTAGTTGGTCAGAAGTATAGATGTGAAAAACATATAGTTGAACAACTTGATATCCAATAAAGTAAAAGTCAATAATAATATGTTTGATGCATAAGTAAAATACTGGGTTAACGCATAAGTAAGTGGTATTGATATTATCATAGTATATTATAGGAGTAGATTGAGAGGTAATATCAAGTTTGTATAGCAGATTGGTGATCCAATTGAGTTCTACAGTAATGGTAGCGATGACTTAATATTCAGCTTTAATGATGGATCTTGTAATTGTATTTTATTTTTTGAAACTCTAATTGATCAAATTTAATCCAAGGAAGATAATGTATATTGACATAGATATTCTATCATCAGTGTTGCTAGCCCAATCAACATCAACGAAGGCATGAAGATGAAAAGATGAGTGTTTACGAATAAGTCCAAGACTAAGAGTCTCCTTAAGGTATCACAGAACACGTTTTAGTGTAGACCAATACGTAGTAGAGGATCAATAAATGAATTATAATAATTTGTGGACTACAAATAAAATATCTAAACGTGTGAGAGATAAATACTACAAGGAACTAAGTATTTGTCGATACTGTATGAGATCCATAATATGGTTGTTATTATATAATTTGAGTGACTTAATGGTGGAGAGTGAGGTGATAATTCTTTTTGCATAATAATATTTTTAGTCTTTGATAATAAATCTCGAATATACTTCTTTTGAGATACTCCCAAAAAGTAGCTTAAGGCTTTTAAGTCTTTGATGGAGAATCGATCAGTAAATTGCTTAAAGAATTGTTTGATCTTCATAAAATTATTATATATGATGATAATATCATTCACATAGATCATTAGAAATATAATACAATCTTTTTGTTGACGTAGAAATAAATAGCTTTTCGTCGTTTATAAACATGGTTTGGATACTAAGAGTGGATAAAATCAAGGGATTACTACATAAAGATATTTTCAATTAAGGTCACACATTAGAAACCATTGTTAACATCTAATTATCATATATGTTAGTTTGAAGTAATAAGATGAATTAAATTATAAGTTGATTTAATAATCAGATAGAAGGCCTTTATGAAATCAACAGTTGATTATTGATGAAATCATTTAGCCAATAGATATGCTTTATATTTGGTAATGGGTCCATTTGAGTTTCGCTTAATTCAAAAGATCCATTTACAAACAATAATATTTTCTGTGATGTGAGATAGGGTTCATGTAGCATTATGGAGTACAATTTTGTTTTACTCACACATGGTTTTACTCTAGTGTAAAATTTTTTAGACTTAAGTATACTCGTCATACGTGCCCTACAAGCCAATCACGTGAATGATGGCATGTGTGACATGATACACATTCTTTTTACTTATTAAATTTTAGTATTTTATCACTATATATATATATATATATATATCGATGGATCTGTGCAATGGGAATCGAATCGTGATGAGATTACGATAATGAAACCGATTCACCTTTAAACACAAATCCTAAATAATCTTGGTCATAGGTTACTCGGGAGAGACATCGAGATAACCAGACAAACTAGTGTACTATATACCCATAGATATGATGGATGTGACTGGTCTCTCTCATAGTTGCTCGTGTGGGGATACTAGGGATGCAGTGCAAGTGCTCATTGGAGAATGAGTTCACTGATTGATCCACTTATGGAATGCTGAATGGTTGATAATATCTCATTATAAAATAATGATTATGTCATCCCAATAGTGTATCTAGTTCTTAAACTTGAGACATCAAAGATGTCCTGTACGAGTACTCCACTATTTGATACCGAACTTATAGCTCTAAAAATTTTAAATCTAGCATAGCCGATTATCGAAAGTGGCAGCCAACCTTACGAGGACTATTGAGTATCGATAAAGGATCATCGACTTTTATTGTCAAGAGGGTAATATCCCATGTGTTTTTGCTTAGATAAATTCTTATTTAGGGTCATTCGGATTGAGAGAGAAAGAGTTCTCTATGAGAATCTAATTAGAGAGAGACTTGAGTAAAAACTGTATAGGTCTAGTACCATATCCGGTATACGGTCTCTAGAATATTAGATTGACGAGGAAGATTTGGTTTGAAATATGTAGAATAGGGTGATCTCTTCCTTCCTCTCCCGAGTATCTCTATCCTGAGTACCGATGGTACAATCGAGAGGATGGTGATATGCCAATGAGTTCAACGATTAATGAGAAAAGGAGAAGGACTATGGTGATGACTGCACGGTAATTCTCAAATTATATATTTAAATCATATATTTAAATTTATGATTGATTCTCAAATTATAAATGGATTAAGAATTAAAATATATTAAAAAATTATAAAATTATCATTCTATATGTATATCATAATTTACTATGAATAAGCTCACCTTTCTTGGCGTACGTGGAGTCTCTCGTTAGACCCTTCTTCATCATTTGTTTCTGTACTATTTATTGTTATCTTCTACAGTCTCGAACAATGTACAAAGGCGAAAGGTACTAAGTTCGCAAGATCAAAAAGCTACAATCCTGTAAAATTCATAGCGACACTGATCTCATGCACTATCATTTCGAACAATCTGAAGGGAAGTATGTTGTTAAAGAAGCATTTGTCATCACGAGGAATATGTATGTATGCAACCAAAAATCTCCGAAGAAAGTGGTCAGGAAGCTACGAAAACGTCAAAAAGGAGCCTTAATTTCTGCCAGATGATGGTGATCGTAGATATCCTTCTTTCGCAAGCTTAAGAGCTCCTCTTTCGGGCGCTCTATAGGCGGAGGTTCTACGGAGCCGCCATTAATGGGTTTCTCGACCATCAGGACCTCATCATCCAACAAAATATTCCTTATGAACGAAACGACTATACTGCTCCTCAACCTCAGTATCCATAGGCCTGCATGATCCTTTCCTGTAAATACCACCAAAATCTCAACCCTCGAATCCAACCATTTTAATCCCTCTTTTTGAAGACGTTTCCACTCTCAGTGTGGCGGGAGCCAATATAGATTATGAGATTCGAGTTGGGATACCAGCAAACATCTTCCTTCATGAAGAAATCACTCAACTTCCTTTGTATGACATTACTAGAATGCATTTTTGTTTATTATATAATGATAATGATGATGACTATGAGACATCTTATAAGATCGACTGATAACGTATGTGTTTAGAGTTCAGAGAGAACATGGATCATGGCTTGACGGGGACGACAGATAGCGACCAAGGGAACTGCCCTGGGCATGGTCACGCCTGAAGCTTCGGCCATGTCGAGTTCTTCATGGCCGACAGTCTCCCACTCGAAGCAGTGGATCAATGTCCCCAGCGTCGACCCCATCATCCTCAGCGCAAGCCCTTCTCCCGGGCACCTCCTCCTCCCCATGCCGAACGGGATCATCCAGCTTTCCTTGCCGCTGCCCTCGAACCTCTCCGGCATGAACTTGTTGGGCTCCTCCCAGACCTTGGGGTCCCTGTGAATGACGTATGCGTTGACCAGGAGCATGGTGCGAGGGGGGACGACGACGCCGTCGACGGTGCACTCCTCGGTGGACTCATGGGGCACCAGCAGCGGCGCTGCGGGGTACAGACGGAGCGTCTCGTTGATGACGCCGCGGAGGTAGGGGAGGTTCGGGAGGTCGGATTCCTCCAGCATGCGGTTGTTTCCGACGCACGCGTCGATCTCGGCTTGGGCCTTCCGCAGCGTCTCCGGGTTGGTGAGCAGCAGCGACATCGCCCATTCCATCGTGCCCACCGACGTGTCTGTTCCTGCTACCAGCAAACCCTTGAAACAAAAGGAAATGAGAGTCGTCAACGTCTGCAGTATCGACATTGGAGAAGGATGTCAGCTGTCGACCATCACAATACGTCGAAAAAGCCAAACACATTGGTCTCGCATCAACAACCCTAAAAGATCTTTATATTTTAATCTATGATCTTTATATATGATTCTGTAGTCTGAATCAAGGATGGAAGCGATGAATAATCTCCTTTTTCTATGTCTTTTCTACGACCTAACGAGTTTTGTGTATATATTTTTTGCGTTATTTTCCAACAGTTGATTGTGGTCTTTCACAAAAGAGAGTCTTCGAAAGAGGGAGGAAAGGTTTGGTTGCCTGCTTATTTGGATGCAAGGCAGAAAAGGGTTAGCTCGGACGAAGGGGATGATGATGATGATGATGATGATGATATCCTAATGAGATCAAAGACACCGAAGAAGATGGCTAAGTTGCATGCTTTTGCAAGGCTGAGTCGAAGAAGAAGAAGAAGAAGGATCCGGTCTCCATAAACCCTAACGCACATTCTGCACGGAAGAGAAGACATCCATGATGGTTAACTCGGGCTATAAAGCGGACAAAAGGATGCAGTCACGTGGCCGTAGTCTCCCTTCTCGTGTCGGTGCAGCCCGAACCACGACACCCGTGCGTTGGGAGATCCGCCGCCGACCTCCTTTCGGCGTGCGAAACGTGTTCGACCAAATTCCACGTGGTCATGCCCAGACTAAAGACAACAGTTGCTCGTTCATGGTACGGTCCAAAGTGTTGTGACTCGGTGACTTGGTCATGAGTCTCGTGGAGTGGACATTTCTGCGGAGGTGAAGAGGAAGAGAGGTCGAGAAGGATACACTCACGGTGATGAGAGACTTGATGATGTGGTCGGAGTGATGCTCGGGGTCATCCTTCTGCATGGAGAGCAGACTAGCGATCGTGGTCTTCTTCTTTGCCTCATCTTGCTCCTCACCGCCGTCTCCTTGTTTAACCTCCTTGCTCTCCCTCCTGTGATCGTCGATGAGGCCCTGCATCAACTCATCCCTCATCCTATCCAGTCTCGTCAGCCTCTTCCTGACTTCTCGTCCGTAGTCCAACCACCTCAGAAACGGAAAGAAGTCTCGGATGTTGGAAGCGCCGGCCAATGCTACCGTTTCCTCGGCCACCTCCATAAACTTCTTCGACTCCTCGGAGATCCTTCCCTCTTCCCCGTAGTACCTTTTCCCTGCGATGGTGATCATAAAGACGTTGATCACCAGCGCGAACAACCTCGACTTCAGCTCCACCTTCGCAGGCCCGGCCTTCGCATACCGGAAGAGGTGGCTCGCCATCGCACGCACCTCCGTGGCGCGGACGTCGGACGAGGACTGCAGGCGTCGGACCCCGAGGACCTCGACGGTGGCGATGCGGCGGAGGTTGCGCCAGTAGGCCCCGTACGGGGCCGTGCCGGGAGTGGAGTAGTTGTAGCTGATGTATCTGATGGAGGGGAGGCGGGGGCGGTTGGCGAAGGCGATGTCGTTGGTGGTGAAGCACTCCTCGGCGGCGGAGGCGGAGGAGACGACGAGAACAGGGCGAGAGCCGAAGCGGAGGAGGAGCACGGGGCCGTAGCGCTCTGTGACGCGGGCGAGAGCGCGGTGCAGGGGCTTCTTGAACATGTACAGGTGACCTATAATGGGGATCGATGGAGGGCTCGGTGGGAGGTTCCTCTTCTCGTGGCTGCTGATGGTGTTGTTGTTAGAGAAGAGGATGGCCTTGAGGAAGAGGAGGAGAGCAAGGGAGAGGGCGACGCAGAGGAAGAACTCCATAGCGGAGGTGACAAAGAGATGTGGCGTATACAGATGGAGTCGCAAAGAGCTGAGTGCTTGCGGAGGAGAGAGTTTGATGGCTATATATATACAACGCAGGAGTTGCCGTGTGTGGCAATGCAACACGAAGAGATAAGGTTTGGGCGATGTCGGCCATCCCTAACCTCCGCTTCTTTTTCTACCACAGTGACTACATAATCTCGCACACGTTTAAATTAAGTAGTGCACTCTGAACTTGTCATATCTTGTCCGCATAAACTGCAAGAAGAAGACGACCATGCATTTGCAGGGGTCGTGTGACACGCATACTCCGATAAGATATGTGTAACGCGTACCTTCTTCGATGGATCTGCATGTTAAATGTTGTTCTTATTCGGTATAAAGAGCTGAGACCAACTTGCACTAATGCAAAGGGACCGCAAACGAGCAGATATTTTCTCCTTGTTCTCGAGGATGAGAACCAACGTTTGGAGGTCAGTATCCAAACAGAAGATGAGCGGCAACAAACAGGTTTGACATCTTGTGTTCCGGCGACAGTAGTGATGCATGCCAGACTTGATGTGCACCGGCGACAGTGCCCTTTCCCAACTCAGAGAACGTGCTGTCGAACGTGTCTGAAGGAAAACGCCAAGATGAAAGCCATGCGCATTGACTTTTATCAGATCACAACGCGAGTCCTCTCGAGGACACGTGTACATCCAGCGTGCCTCCAGAATGGGTCACGTGGGTAAAGAGGCGCACGTTTCGGAGACATCTCGGTCGAGGCAGGGCCCACGAAAGGAACCCCCACTATCTTCCGTCGATCTGAAGTCAATGAGATCAGCGATCCAGCGATCGACGGCACAGAGACTCGCCCGCTTTTAACTGCTCCCGAAGATCCTGTCTTGGATACTGTTTTGAGTACCGGAAAGGGCACGGTTGGCCCTGCCTCGACCGAGACATCTCGCAAACGTGCGCCTCTTTACCCACGTGACCCATTCTGGAGGCACGCTGGATGCACACGTGCGCGACGTCGACGGCGCTCGTCTCTTTCCCCGAACTCGTAAAAGTCCTCGAGAGGACTCGCGTTGTGATCTGACGTTTGTCACCGACATGTTGCAACGTGACCGGAGACAGGTAATCTATCCATGTGCGCGCCCTAAAAGTCAATGCGCATGGCTTTCATCTGAAGTCAATGATATCAGCGATCCTGCAATCGAAGACAGCGAGACTCGCCCGCTTTTGACTACTCCCGCAGATCCTGTCTTTGGATACTGTTTTGAGTACCGGAAAGGGCACCACAAAATTATCCATTCATTCTGAAAGGAAAATTTGAACCATCGATGTTTATGTACACTATCTTTACAGATTCTTCACCTGCACGCAGGCCTGCCTTTAAAGCACTAAAAGTCAACTACAAGTCGATTTCTGCAATCTCAATTCAGCCGCAAATCATAAGAACATGACTCATTTTGTGTTAAAAGCTTTCGTGCTCATTAAACATCTTAAGTCGAAAATCCCAGCGGGATCAGTGTCGGAAAAGATCAAGCCCTGAATTCAGTTACCAGCGTATCACTTAAACCCGAATCTGATTTGATCTTTGTCCGTCATAGTCATACGCTTCCAAGGAAATCTTGCTGGTGATACTGGAGGCGCCCATCTCTTCTGATAAAAATCAACACCGCAGCCAATTCTTAGCGTCCCTGTTTTTTCCCTGCTAATATACAAATTAAGAATGAGTTTATTCCTCGAACGAATTATATCAAAGTAACTTCTAGGAAAGTATACAAGCAGTAAGGATGGAGTGGGTGAAAAATTCCAATCAAGTCTGGTCCAAAATCATAATCCTGTTGAACAAATCATATGAGGAACCTTGATCTTTTAGCAGCGCATCATGATCGACGATGCTGTATCCAGTCGAACGAACATGCATAGTATTCATATTAGGACTCGAAAAGGTTCATAAGCTAGCTTGGATATGTAGATAGTTGTTGGCTAAAGCTGTCGATTTCAGTTAAAACGTCTACACAGCAGAAACTAAGCAGTAAATTTTTTGACAATCATAATCGAGTGACAGACATGAAATCCAGGCAAAGAGAGGTTCATGAATAAGGCTGAAGGATTTGGAAGAAAATGTTGGCCTAGAGTTGGGCAGTTGAAGGAGATGATTTCCATCTCATACATAGTTCATGATCTGAGAATCTATGCAGACAAAGGATATTGTCAACAGGAACATGATCAGTGCAAGGTGCACAAAAACACATGAAGTTTACCTCTTTGGAACCATGACTTTCGAACAGCTTTGTGGATTTTCCATTCATGCTTCTCTAGAAATTCATCAACCCTTTGTGATTGGAGGAGCAGAGGCCCTGACAGATCTACTTTTTCTTCTCGATAACCCTGAAAATTTTGGAGTCAAGTAGCAAATGATTAGCTAAGCGAATGGTATAGATATAGAAGAAAGTAAAAGAATGTCAGTAGCTGCATCAGTACCAAGCTCCTGTTCCTAGGCATTACTGCTCCTTCTGACAAATCTTGAGAACGATGGGCGCTAAAAGAATATACTGAGTCCTGAAAGTCTGGATGTATCCAATGCTTCAGCGTTGCATTTCTTGTCAATTCATAGGGCTTATGGCCTTTTGAGCTGGAATAGGGTACATGTTGAAGATCTCCATTTCCTACTCCATTTAACTTGAAAGTACTTTTAGCCTGTGAAACATTTGATGGGTCAAACTTTTCCAATTCGTCCTGTCTAGATCTGGATCCAGTATGAGATTTGATGTGTCGTTGGTCTTCTTTTGGTCTCTTCGTCCGTGCAAAGCTGGTAGAGGCAGAAACGTCCAGCAGCCCTGAGGAAGGAAGACCTCTTTGAGAGATTTGCTTGACATGTCTACCCTCATCTCGAAATGTAAGACTTGGCGTCGGCTGCAGATCAACCAATAATCTTTTATTATTATTTGCTACTGGAATCTCTCTTTTTTTGCCACTTCTATTCATTCCTTGAGCATTTCTTGAACCCTGCCAGAAACATGGAGTTTTTAATATTGTTGTGCCAATAAATACTACAAGATTTTTTTATTGCTTATATCGAACCATTTTGAAGATAACCATCTTTTAATTTTCATGCACAGAGAGAGACAAACCTCTTTGTGAGATGCTATCTTTGCTAGGGCATTTGATTCTCGTGAAGGCTTACGTGCTCTTGAAGGTTTTCTTGTGGCCTCTACAATGTGTGATCTGCTCTTGACAATCCTCCTGAAATAACAGAGTAAATTGATTAAAAAATGTTTGACAATCAAGTAAAGAATTGCTCTTTATGTAAAAGGAAAGGAAGTTGTGCTACCATCATATCAAACAAACAATCAGATACTTGGATGAACAACTAGTCTGAACATTTGAAAGGTAGAAAGAAAAGTTGTGCTATAGTCATATGAGTAATCAGATAGATGAACAACTAGTTTGAACATTTGAAAGGTAGCTTTTCTTTGCAAAATGAACATCACCAAAGTAGTTTCATTAGTCAGTAGATAATTTCAGGGAGCAAAAGAAGCTCAGATTTGAAATGTTGTTGTCACTTATGGCGAGAAAAACTCAGAATCTCCCATCCTATATTAAATCTAACACAGCATGTTTTTGACTTAGTATGTTTTAGCTATTAACTAGCTGTAAACTAACCTTTTTTTGGTTTCATAAGCTTAAATGACAACCAATTCTTTAAAGTATATTAAATTCTTGATTATCCATCTGGTCATCATGTTAAAGTTCCAGTATATAACAATCCAGGTGCCTTTAAGCACACGAGTTACACCATAAGACCTGATAGAACCCGCATATAACAGTAAACTTTCAACTATGCTATCAAAAAAGAGACTATATCATGTTTTATGGAGAAAAAGTTTATTGTCACCTTTGTGACTCCTCCCGGAACTTTGCATCGATTTCTTTGTTAGGCTGGTATTTTGGCAAGCTGGATGGATCACATGCATAAGGCTTTGTCCTGAAGTACTGAACAAGCATGGGAAAAAAATTAGACCGTAAAAACTGACATGCTTTGTAGATCCTTAAAAATGTTAAAGCATATCATCATGAAAACCATATAGACAAGTGAGATAACAGAAGGCAAGAGGCTATGCACATTAGTGTGAAGCATAATTACTCAGGAAGTCTAAATCTGATCTTAGAATGCAAATAAACAACTCATAAGCCAGATTATACTTAGTTTTGATCTGTAAATTGAGAACCTTCTATATGCATGCAATGTGGTCCGAGAGTATAATCCTGATGACAGGGAATTAGCTTTTCTAGGAAAATGGTAATGCAATAAATCATTTTATCATATATTCTGCTTTTCTACAGTTAATTATAAAAAAAGTCTGCTCTTAATCATGATGGGGAGAATCTCTCAACAGATCAAACAATCCTTATTAGCAACCTATAATTATAAATCTCACACAGAGAAGAATACTGAGAAGATATTATCAAAGTAACTCACTAGAGACCAAATCCTACACAAGTGTTTTACCTCAGAAGTAAGAGCAGTAGAAGCTGTGCCACGTTTATTGGGCTCAATAGATAGAAGTGTCTGTAGCAACTTAAATGCACTATCTGGTAAAAAGCGAAATGTCTCTCGGATGCAATTTTCATAAGGATGAGGCTTAAAAATACTTTCACGGGGCAGACTGGATTTGTTCCAAAATTCTTCTGGTGGAGAGCCACAGAGCTTAAAGATTTTATGTAGTTGCTCAACCTGATGATACACAAAAAAAATTAGAGCTTCAAGATACTAATAATGGATTAGATCACCAACAGCATAGTATAGCTACCACCAAGGTTCACAATACCGTACCATACCGGTATTTCGACTTGGGCTCGATACCGGTACGGTACGGTATACCGAGCGGTACACTCAGGTGTGCCGAGTACTGTAGCACTGCTATAGTGCTACAGTACACTCGGACCGGTAACAGGTGGTCCACGTACCGGCAACCGGTCGGACCGATACGTACCGCCCATACCGGGCGGTACAGTTCGGTACTGCAGACCCTGGCTACCACCATTTAGCATTCTTTCCCCCGGTGTAATATAAGTGCCATACTGATTTGAGCATAAAGGGGTATTAAGATGGTTATTTAATATCCATGCTCCAAAAGAATGTGAGCTTTGCAACATGGTTCACCTCATGCGCTGCTTCTGGAATCAGTCTTTCTTTGTAATTGTGCAACAATGTATTTCTTAACTAGTTCTAATTCTTGCTTCTGGAGTGTCAGCGTACAACTGCAAATTACACCTAACAACAATGAGAAAGTAAGATTGAGATGATAATTACCTCAGTTCTTCCTTGCAAGATAGGCTCCCCAAAGAAAAGTTCTGCAAATACACATCCAACGCTCCACAGATCTACGGATGGCTCGTAGTCTGTTGATCCCAGGAGAAGCTCAGGTGGCCGATACCATAATGTCACAACTCGACTGGTTAGTGGTTGCTTATCCTTAGGATCCAAGATGTTTGCCAAACCAAAATCAGCAATCTTCAGAATTCCCTCATTGTTAACCAAAAGATTTGCGCATTTGATGTCGCGGTGTATGACACCATGTGAATGACACTGTTGAAGCCCGGATAGCAATTGGTGCATATAGCATTTGACCTGTAACAAATGAGCAAGGTCAATTTCCTGCTGAGCTAGTGAGGTTTGTAGATCTGAAATAGTTCCAAGGTTCGTGCATAACCTGTGGTTCACTGAGTTTGATGTCAGGACAAGATGACAACCCTGCAAGATCATGCTCCATGTATTCTAAAACAAGATATATACTGCACGACAACCGAGAAGTAATTAAGCCCTCCAGTTTTATGACATTTGGATGATCAAGCCTGCGGAGGATCTGTATCTCCCTTGCCATAAACCTAACATTCTCAGGATCAAAATTGTCGAAGCGCACCTTCTTCAGGGCAACAATCCTCCCTGTCTCGATCTCACATGCTCTAAACACACTGCTATAGGTACCTTGCCCGATCTTAGATGCATTTGAAATGAACAAAGATCCTTGTCAGATAACAGTGAGATGAAGAAACAGTGTCGGAACAGAAGAGCAACAAACACAATTTTCCAGCAGTAGCAACAGAAGACCAAGAATAAATATGAGGACATAGCTTAAGCTATTAAGTATGAATACCAACGGAAAAATGGAATGGAAGTCGTCTCATATGATCTCTAAAATACCTTCTCCAATTTCTCGAAGGAGTCAGCTTTGAGGGGCACCCATCCCTGAATGGCTTCCCCGGCGACGGCGCTGAGCCACGCAGGCCATCCCGCGGCAATCTGCTCCCCTTCGCTGCTCCGATTCAAGTTCCACAGCCGAAAGCTAACGGAACTGTTGCCGGAGGAGCTCATTTTCCCAGACTCCCCCGACTCGCTACAGTCACCGAACTCATAGTTGGCAAGCTGAGGGCGGTTCCAGAACGACGGCGAAGATTGGAACTCTCCCGAGGTCTCGAGGGTTCCCGAGACGCCCGAGGAGACAAATGCCGGCGTAAGAGGGGCCGCGTTCTTCGACGCTACGCAACCCATCACGGCCTACGATCGGCCGGCTGCCGGCGTGCAATCGGGGAATCCAGGTGGAGGAATTACCTCCCCGAGGAAGGGAGAAACACCCACTTCGAGAGATGGGGAAGGGAACCGAGAAAGGGAAGAAGAACAGGAGGCAAAGGAGAACCCCGAGAGGTTCTAACTAAAGATAGAAAAGTGGGATCTTTATTACCTTCGCTTCTCTTTCTCCTCCGCAGTGATGATTAGGTCCCTCCCGCGTATCGCCTTCCTCTGGCGAGATTAACTGGGGAAGAAGGCACAAGAACCGGAGAAAGAATAGGACGGACAGGGGATTCAAGAACGGTGAGATCCCCCCCTCCCCAAAGATAGCAAAGATGAGATATTTATCTTCAAAGATAGGATCTTTACGGTTCTTTTCTTCTCGTTATCATCGACGTCCGTTCTGCCAACGAACGAACTCCGAGATTGCCGCGGGCGGAGCCGATGAAACCTCCTCCATTTCCCGCGCAAAAAAGCAGCCTCTCATATGAAATGAGAGCAAGCAAGCAACTTTGGCGAACATGAACGCTGGAAGCATCTGATCTTTGCTTGAAGCTGCAGTTGCTGACGAGAGGAGGCGGTGATTGTTCGCCTGAGGAAGAAGAGGGGTGATGGAGGAAACGGTGGCTCGCCTCCATCGAAGGTGAAGTCGAAGTGGATCACCAGACCAATCAAACAGGGCTTTTCTGGTGGGGATTTTATGAGGTTGCTTTCAGAAGGATACTATTTGTCCACAGGCAGGTGTTGGAACAGTGAAAATTTCTAGCATTCGCAAAATGTAAGGATGATGATATGAGATGAGGGATTCATTTATTCATACTGCTTAATTCATGAACTTTTAGTCACAGACTGCAAAAGTTTCACGCATGATTCTCTACCATAAGAACTTTTATATATGGATGATGAGTGACCATCTACCATCATGTTCTTTCCTCAGCTTGAATGGTTGCTATTGGCTGCTCAACAGTCTGTCTTGAATCTACTCCATCAAGGGGAAGAGAATTATGATGAAGAATGCTTGGTGAGAGAACTGCAATTTATTGAGTTCAATAAACATGCCAACAAGCTGGAAAATTATGACAAGAGAAAGATCAAATCATGCTCAACACAAGCTGTTCTCAACTTCTCTGCAATGAATCAAAACTCCAAAGCTAATGGCTGAAGAGATGGATTTGATTACTAAACACATTCTCGATGATGGCATGTTCTACATCGATTAACATTCTAAATATCCCTACAAAGCTGAAAAGACTACCTTCCCTTAAAAAAAAAAAAAAGTTCAACACAATGCAGTCAAAGTAAATCGATGTGAGCATCCACCTGAACTAAGCCGATCCATATCTTCTCCGTATCTTTTTGGTCATTGCCATACAACAGTTCAAACATCTTTAGATCTCAAGAAGTAATCGGTCATGGAACATGATGTCGAGGATTCGGAGGACATGTCACACTAAGAGCAAGCAACCATCTCAAGGCAGAATGCCAAAACTATGAATCATTCTGATGCATTGCAACAATGAAGACAAAAGAAAGGGAGAATAGATCTTTGTGTCCATTTATCAGCAGCTTACTCAGGAGTGTCCCCACAAAAAATGAGCTTAGACTTCATGGAATCTACCAATCAAATATTCTTTTTTTCGTTTCATGTAGTAATACAACGATATTTTGGAATTTACAAGCTGTTATTGACTGTCACCAACCCCAAATTAAAACTAATAATAACATATAAAAAACTACATTTCATGAATATTTAGTACCTTCCACTTGCACCATTAAGGAACCAGTCTGAATTCCTCTATAAAACAAGCATTTGCATGTGTAGTGCTCCTTTTCAGGTTCAATGAGTAGCGAGACTAACAGGAAGGCATCTCTGCCTACGGCATCGCCTTGTCGTCCTTCCCCATCCGATCATACCCACTTTATCTATTGTTATTTCAGAATTACTCGGTTGAGATGGTGGAAGTGAGCTCACCCCTATCTCCTCAAATGTGATGGACAAACTTCTAGGCTGCTTCCTCCTGTTTGTTTGGGAGTTTATTCCACTTTGACCAATGTTTCGTCTCGTTAGACCTGTCTGCCAAGGCCTACCTGATGCTTTCATCATCCCTTCAATAGTTTGGAGATCCTCTGTAACTTCATGCCTTGACAGTGATGCAAGACCTGGCAGAATATCTTTCTGGAAGTCCCTTCGCCGCTGCCTTCTCTTTCTTGCCTGGCCACGCCGAGGTTTTGCAAAAAGCAATGAAGCTGCACCTACGTCTTGTTTGCCTTCATGTTCATCTTTGATCTCAAGTTCCTTTGATCTCAACCAATACTGATCCACCTTAATTTCTTGGAGCTTTAGTGTCATTGCCTCAAAGATATCCAAACCATCATCATCTGAAGATTGAGTTCCGCCATCTCCACTATCACCCAGCAGCCTTAGGTTTTCTGCTCTGCATGATGCTACTACATCTGCAAACCAACACAAGGTGTCAAATCGAGACAGGGATGACGGGTGGGAATTGGTGTCATCTGGATGACCTCTGCAACCCATAGAGATAGCAACTAAATTCTCTGCAGCCAATCCAACAAGTGTAAAACCAGAATAATCCTTTTCCTCCGAACCATCTTTCTTGCTTGATGGAATGTGTTTATGCTTCTTTATCATTGCCATTTGAGCCTGAGAAATGTTTGCTTCCGAATCAATGTTAGAAGCAATTTTTGCACCTGCACTGGATTTAGCATATGATGACTGAACCACTATCTCATCTCTAGGTAATATCATTGAAGGTATAGGTTCATCTCTACATGCAAACTCAGCATTGGGACGAATGTGATTCCTAAAATTTTCCCTGTTGTTTCCACTACAAATTTCGGTGATTGAATCACCAATATGGATATTATCCTGTGAATTCAGCACCTGTATATCACAGGATAAGTCATCGATGATCATGTTGCCATTTTTCTTAATAGTATTACCAGATAAATGTTTTCCCATACGTCGAAGAGAAGCTGATATGCTGCTTTGTTGTGTTGTCTTATGAAGAGGAAAACCAAGAATAATTGTCCCATTGTTGTCAGAAACTTCATTTCCCTGCACTTTGTAATGCTTAAACTGTGAAGCTGATGTGACTTCCGGCATGGTACATAGAGAGAAATCCAGCTCTTTTCCTTCATTCCTCACACCTCCAGGAGCAACAACATTGGAGCTAGAAATTAGCTGACGATGCCCATTGGAAAAGCAAAAATCTGCTCTCGAGTCATATTTTCTCAAGTCAACAGCCTCATTATAGGATGCTTTGTTTCTGAATGAAGATGGATCCTCTGGCACCTTATCATTAACATCACAAATGACTCTATCCTGTCTGAAGGTAATCTTATCTTCAACATCACTTGGAAATACTTGATTTAGGTCCAGGTGAGTTTTCAAATCTCTGCTACTGAAATGCTTTGTGTAGTTTTCAGGCAAATGATAACAAAGATCTCTATTGGCATCATCAACCTTGTCTGGCTTACAAACTGCAATTTCTGTATGTAGTTCTGAACTGGACTCCAGATGAAGACCATGGTGATATCCATTTGCATGAGGCACCCTAATATCCGAACCTAGGCTTGTGGACAGTCTCTTACTATTTTTCCAATTTTGACAAGTAACAGGGACTTGAGCATCTATCTTGGAACCCAGGCTCCCATTAGGAAGATTAGATGACACGCTGAAGCATGGAAGTGCTTGAACCATGGTTTGCCTGTTACTAATGCTGATGGCAGGTTTTATCCAAGATGAAACAAATGAAGATGCAGAACTGATTAAATCGGCCTTGGGAGTTGTCATTGTAGAAGGCGTTGAGGGAGACACTAGCGATGAATTTGAGCAGGTGATATGAGGGAGTCTTAGAGATGCCTGGATATTGTGAATTGGCTCTTGTCTAGACCATGTCTCTTGGTTATTATGGTTGAATAAAGAAAATTCATGACATTTCTTAGTGTTTGATTGTAAAGTTTCAGATGATGTTGAAACGTTATCATCATAGAAAGTCTGAGAAAAAGAATCCACAGTGCTCCCTTTGTTCGCTGTATATTGATAATCAAAACATAATTAGTATGAGAAAAAAGAAGTTCGAAGAAGGTATATAACAGCATAATTAGCAAGACTTGTACTATGCATTAACAAGAAAAGCATAATTAACTTCTGTGCACTGGACCTATACCATGCATTAGCAGATGTGGGAAACCAAGCATTCAATCAAATGCATGAAGATGAGCATCTAACAGTGACAGTTGAATAATGCAAGGTCTGGTTAGTTTTGACAAATTCTTGCAATGATGCCATAATATGTCAGTTTAAGCCAAGTCACAAAGGACCAAACAAACAAATTTAAGAGATTGAAACATTACCAGATTCATGATTAAATAATGGCCATTGTCTTTTTGTGAGTACATCCTTATGCAAGAGGTCTGAAGTAGTCTGTTGATTGACATGTCGTTCTATGAAATTAGTCTTTGATCTCAGAGATAAAAGATGCTCTTGATTCCTATTGCTGTGAGTATCGAAGCCAAGTAATTGAATAGAAGCTGATTTTGCTGGAGTTTCATAACATATTTCTGTTATTGGTTTATTTAAATCAACTGCACTGCAGGCTGATATACCAAATTGTGTCAGTGAATTCAGTATCTGATGTTCTTCTTTATGATCACTACCTAGAGTGAGCTTCACATCATTCTCAGAATAGAGAGAGCAATTTCCATTCTTGAAAATACTAGCACTATGCGATAACTCAACAATTTTAGTCTGCACAGATCCATCAGTATCTTCAGTGTCTATATATACATCAGCTGGAAGTTGAAGGTTAAATCTTCTTTTCTTCAGAGGCTTGTATTCAAGTGCCTCGGTGTCCTTTTGAGAAGCTCCATTTAGTGATGGGAAATGATCAGCTCGAACATTCCCTTCCCTTGAGAAACTAAAATGGGACCGCTCGGTGCCTGCAAAAGGTGTCTTTCCGTCACCACTGTTTCCCAGAGGAAGGTGAGATATCTGTAATATCTTTTCAGTACATTCAGATTGCATTTGAGATGAAAAAGAATTTGAGTGTGATGCTTCTGCCGGTGTGAAAGATCCACAATACCCTCTAGTTTGAAACTGATTCATCAGGTCTTTCTGTATTCTATACAGACGATGAAGCTCATAGACCTGAACGACAAGTGAAACAACATTTATTACAGGAAAGCACATGGAAAGCTCAAAAGTGATATGAGGAAAAAAGTATCTTTATTTTCTTTTCTCTCCAAGAGAAGACTATCTTATTCATAAAGAGGAATCCAATTGAACATCAGATAGTGACAGGTTTGTGTACATACACAACATCTATCCTCTCAATGAATTCAGCCTACATTGTTAGTCTAAGCTTACTGATGCAATAATCTGAAGATAAAGAAAGAAGTAGGGCCTAATTCTTCCAAATGCAATCTTGTTCTCCGGGTTTTGGTTTGAGCTTCTTTGACTCGATACAACTTGGTCCAATATTTCATCAAAATACAGACAGACTCCTCAAGATTGAGTGTTCCTCTTCGATTTGCAAGTGAATTACTACAAAGAACAGTAAAATTTTCAAACAAAAAGAAATTAATAAAAACCTGGAAAAATGGAACTTTGTAAGATAAATATAGCTAGGTCAGGCTATCCTATTCTGGGAATCTAGAAGCAAAGAATGTGCAGGGACTGAACTACTTTATAAACTTGAAAATATAAAAGTTCCATGTAGTAACTCAAGAAAGACATGATAATTGAAAGCTCTAAATCATGTGTACCACATACTAAACAATTAGCTTCTGGTCCATGATCTAAATATTAGATTGCTTGAGTTAAAAAAGGAGGATCAGTGGACACCTCTGCCTTTATTTTATAAACAACAATCCAAATAAGGAAGTACAAACAAACTCATGACTTGCATGTTTGAAAAAATCTTCAAAAAGGATTCAATGCCAAAAAAATCATTTTCCAGAACTATTGAAAAGATCAAGACTCGAGACAATCTGGAAGACAAGCATTAGTAAGAGATCAAATTTTGGGGAAGATAAAAGTCAAAATCGAATAAAAAATTATGTCAATATTCTATGTACTGGGCAAGCAATCTGTAATAACCTTAGCTGAACTAGAGATGAGATGTCAAAATTTAAATTTACTGGGAAAGCAATCTGAACTGACCCTAATTGAATCTAGATTAATGTCTTTATCAACAAATAAAATATTAGCAAGTTACTTAGGCAAGATCAATTTTACCTGATCCCTTTTGGTAAATAAGATATCAGATAACGAATCTAAAGCTGTTTGGAACTTAAAAATGAGAGTTACATCTTCCAGCTAAAGGCTAATCAAAGAATACATTGAGGAGGATTTTCATATTTTATAAAAACCACCTGAAGTTAAAAGCGATGCCTTCCATATGACCAACAAAAATGATCGGAAATATGTCGCAAGTTGAAATTCATAATTCAGCAGCCATTGACAGTTTTCTCCCAGAATATACATGAAAATCCCATCCGTGAGGATAATGTCAACTTGTTTAGCCTAATAGCTATCACTACATGGTCAGTTCTTAGAACTTTGGTGACTGAGGTATACCAAACAGCCAAGGTACAGGATAATTGATGAGAATTTAAAACACAAAGTTTGTCACAAACAACTAGACTTTGTCGAGAAAATTAAGTTATCAAAACCATTAAGCAGAGATGAGACATAATAATCAAGTCATTTCACCAAGAAAACAGAGATGAAGTGCATCCCAAGAATGCTATACCTTAAACAGTTATAGAGAACATTAATATCTTTACCTGCTTCCTAAATATGGCTTCATGTTCAAGCATTGTCCGCCTTATCATGCCTTTATCATGTTCCGAGCATCCATCCACCAACTTTGGTACGTGATTGTTGTAGAGATGCTCACTAAACTTCTTGTCCTGAAAGTACCAAGACCAACTACTTCTTGCATCCTCTTTAATTTCCCGCATGGAATTATATCCTGGAAGGTAATATTTACCCTGCACTTTCATCACCATTCCTGCAAGTTCCAAAGCTAATCAGCAAAGAATAGTAAGATAGTGGCAAAAGGATTTATAGTGGATTTTTTTATGCAACAAAAAGAAAGTGAAAGAGACAACACTGGAATGTCAAATGGGCTTTTGTCTTCCAAAAATAACATAGTACAGTAATACTTGTTTTTCAAATTGTAGGTACATTTCATGTTCAACATAAAAGCATAAGTTACCCTACTCCCTCAGGAACTTTAGCAAGTGTTATCAAGAAGGGAAATCTATGGTAGGGAGAAGGGAAATAGTTAAAATCAACCACCATCACCTGTAGCAATAGCAGCCAAGATAAGTTAATAATAGGTAGTGATGAAAATGATTTATATTAAAAAAAAAAGAAACAATGTTTACAATCACAAGCTTCAGTCTCTTGACTGGCAGTTGTTTAGCAAGAAAAGAAATATAAGACGAAACCAAATACATCATCCTAATGTAATATTGATTATGTTGCATTTATGCCACAATAACTAGCACTAATCTAGTACCTAAACATGTACAGGAAAAAGATAAGATGTACCTGGAGCAACAATGTACAACTGCAACATTTGCATTTGCTGCCCTAACCCATAATTACACAATCAAAGAACATAAGGAGTTATGGTACAAGAAAGGCATGAAAAGATGGCATAAATATCATTGGAGACAGCACCTAGGATTCCATACGAAAAGTCATGGTGAGGAGGCATGCGGAAACCATGTGAAGATAGATAGAAACCCATGCATTAACTTAGCTAATGATATCAAGAGTGCCAATGGATAAATTGACTATGTGAAGCAATACTCTACAAGCTCATAGACACCAGAATGCAGTTGAAAAGAAAGGGACATATGGAGATACCAAATAGAATGGCAACAAGCTGCGGCCCTTTGAATGTGATTCCCACTAAATCCTGAATGCAGATGTTCAAGATCACTGCAGCATTCAACAACTGACAATTATTTGCAGCAGGCAGAAGCACATTTTTCAAAATTGGATCTTCAGGCTTCGGAACCCATAAGATGAGGTTCAACCTCGTAACCAAAGCTGGTCCATTTGCTCAAGGTTTTTAAAGATTGAATCGGAAGAAAAGGATGGCATCTAAGGTAAGAAAAGGATGACATCTATATACTTACAACACAGAGTACATTTACAAGAAGAGCATCAAAGTGAAGAAGCCTCTGGTCCAAAGATAGGAAACCTACAGACCTAGTAGAACCCAAATATGGGAAATAGTAAATCCACAAAAGAAAACTGTTTATACCAAAACCTGGCATGCAAAGTTGGCAGTGGAAGAACAAAGAGAAGTCTGGTAGAATCAAAGAGAGGTATAAGAGTTCATTAATCTTTACGTCAGCGATTGAAGATAGAGCAAATCTTTTCCTTTTCAATTCAAGCTTCACTCCACAAACAATAATCAGCAGGAAACTCCATCATCATAACGAAAGAAATAAGTGTCAAAAATGGCTTAAAGGGACGGAAATTTTCTGGTTTTATCCAATAGCAAACAGAAAAAGCATATCATTTCTTTCAACGATAATTAATCTAAAGCACGCCCTCAAAATCCTACATCAAAATAAACATCCACTTTAAAAGAAATAGCAAGAGTCAAATAACCACAAACCAAACAGAGAGATATCACAATCATCATCTAAATCAAGAAATCGACCGAAGAAGAAAAGAACATATATCACCTCTCCCTCTCATCCATCTTGCGAATATCGTCGTAGCAAATTCGGCATCAGGACGCAGAACATCGAAAATCCAAGTTGCCGCGAGCATTCAGCCATGGAAAAACGGCAACTTTCCGAGCGTCCCACCCGTTCGAGCGGCCGAAGCTGCCGCAACAATTCAGGAGACGAGGAGCCAAGACAAGGGATAGCCGCGCCACTGGAAACAGCGAAGACTCGGCCCAAAAAAGATGCAACTTTTGGGATCAAAATGCACTAAAGGAAAAAAAATGGGCATCTGGAACAGGCCATAAGCACCAGACGCAGCAGCAGATCGGGGGGTTTCGATCCCTTGGGCCACAAGGAAAGGGGCAGGCAAGAGATCCGAGATAAAAGAAAGATGTCTCACAAGAATGAACGACCTTCCAAGAACTACAGTGACAGGAAACTTGTCCTTTGTTTCTCGGCCTTTACCATCTCTCTCTCTCTCTCTCTCTCTCTCTCTCTCGGTTGGTTTCTTCTACTTTCCAGTGAGTATCCTTTATTGGGCGTTGGGAGAAGTGATCGAAATGAGATCTTTTCCTTCTTTATGGGCTCAGAGATTCTCTCCTCCCTGCCTTGCCTTTCTGTGGGGGTATAGAAGAAACATAACGAGACAAAGGCAGAACCGTCCAATGGATATCTACACAGCTCCTACCTTCACTCGCACACATACACATACGCACCAATATTTTATTTTTCCCCCTTCAGATTACTAACAACTTGGATTATAGTATGGAAGATGGCATAGAACTGTCGATCCATGACGATATCATCCGATGGTGGCCTCCTCTTATCCTTGTTGGCGGCTGACAGCGAATTGTCGGTAGATATGGTGTGGGTCCCACCGGCCTCTGCCCCTCCTCTCCACGAGAGCCTACTTTCGGAGGGAGATGCGATGAAAGACGAGCTCAACTGTTCGTGACACTTGTTGGCGACTGAGCTAAAGAAAACTGGGATTGATCGAGACCCCTTTGCCTGTAACACGAACACTCGTGAAGACTTGATTCCCTGCCTCGACTCTGGTGAGTGGAGAGAGGAGCGGTCCGCACTACCAAACCACACAATGCCAGATCTAAGACTCACCCAAAAAGCTTGCAGTACAAACATAGTAATTGGGTCAGACAAATCATCTTTTTCTCCATGGCGCATGATGCTGTTAGCATCGGCATGATGAGCCCTGGGAAGAGGTCCCTACGACTCCCTTGATCCCCGGCAACCGAGAGAAGACACGACTGTAGCATCTCCGACCATTCTGTACCGATTCCGGTCTTCTTTAAAGTTCATCCGAAAAGTAACTTAGAAAAGTCTAGATGTGCTCATCGAAGAAGATGGAAATTTTAGGGGGTGAAACCGTGATTCATCGTTTTCTTTTTCCTCTTAAAGCCAATGAATGATTCGAGTTCGAGTTCGAAGCCATCAGGTCGATCATGCAAGAAAAAAACCAGATGGATAAACACCGATGTTTTCTTTGTCCTCTTGAACATGCGCACATCGGAGTGGTGGAGGCAGAAAAGCAAGAACAGCATCAACGATTGTTAGCGTTGCAAGCTATTATAGCTTCATGTGGTCTGTCAATCTCGGATAATGGTTTCCGGAAGGTGAAGCACTGTAATTAATATCTATTGTTTATTGTAAGTTAACTATAAACTAATATCGTTTACAATCTCGTTGTAATGCAAAAAAGCATAAGGCTGTGGATTTGTGGACATCATAGGAATCTGTCATATCTTCGAAATATTACAAGTTCTTATAATAAATCATAAAAAATGATTGTCAATAGAAATCTGCTTGCATAATTCTCCAGTGATGCCACTGCAGCTCACAGCCATTAAAGCAACACCAAACCAAAGGCACAAGCTTGGCTTCTCTGTGTGCATCTGCAGGAGATACAGAAACAAGGTTCGCAGAATACAAAGCGTTCTGCGGACAGCATCTCATCCTCCATGCCATGTCCGAGACGCCTGCTCGATGAGAGGTCAAGTGTTGTCTACAGGAGTTTCTTCTGCTAGGAGTACCGAACGACTTCCTCCGCTACGGTGTGTAGCTGCAGCCAAGACTTTGTTTGTTCCTTGTTTAGGAGATTTGGTTGGAATCTAGCTTTCTCGTTGAACATATTAGCTGATTAGTGTTGTTCCTGACTCATGATGCGACTGATGAACGAGAAGCATAAAGCTAGCCTGAAATCTCTGGTAATGTCTTGAGCATCTTCAGTGTTGGTGTTGATTAGCAGAGAAGCGTGGAACTCTGTTCTTGCGAGGGCAAGAATTATGATTGCCGACCAAGAAAAATTGGCCGATCGAAATGATCATCTTTTGTTGACGTACATTATGTGATAATATATATAAATATAAATATATATATATATATATATAGTCTGATTGAAATCCAAAAATCTTATTTTGCACCATATTCATTTCCTCTGGCCACCTTCGATCTCACCACCTACCACACCGCACTGTTCCAAACCCCATGGGATCACCACGAGCGGCTTATATGGAATGGTGCCTCTCTCCCATTCCCTTGTCCTCCCTTCTTCCCTGTTCCTCCTCGGAGGCTCTTCTCGACCTCTGCAATGGAGCTCAAGCTCTCGAAGCCCTCTCCTCTGTCGCCGAGCGTCCCTCGGGTCTTCGAATCCCCGATGCGCGGTCTCTTGTTCTGTGATACGACCGGGCAAAGGCTCCGCTTTGGGTCTCCTCTCTCGGCATCTATTAAATCTGGGAAAAAGCTCCATGCGATCCAAATCCGTGATATTTCTCCTTCCAGGTACAAGAAAGTCGCCATCTTTGCTTTCGCTTCGTCGTTATCGCCAACGCTTTGGGTCAAAGTTGGTGTCTTTCTAGCATTTCTCTTGTGGATCTGCGGAAACTTGGATCTTCGTTTAATGCTTTGTGGAACTTTCTGTTATGTTTCTCCGGGTCTGCCACAAACAAGCTTAAAATTGCCTCTCTGGTTTCTTTCTTCTGGATCGGGCTTTGGTGGCCATTCGGTTAAACAGTTTCTTTTTCCTTCGTTGTTCTTGTATCGATCTACTATGTGCATGTAATAGAGTTATGGTGGAATGTTGCCAAGAATTATTCATTGGGCTACGGAATCAATCCCTGAATGTAGTAAACTATTGGCACGTTGCCACATTCTTGATTTTGTTTTACGAATATGCATTGTTTATTGATCAATCATCGATGTGTCTGTTCCTTTATCCTGTTTTTTGAGCTCCAGGGGACTTTAAATCCTAATTATTCATGAAAATGTAGACGAAGTGGAGGATTTACTAAGTTGTCATCTTAGGAGATGTTGCCCCTGAGATTTTTGTGATGATCCTGTCACAACGAAAAGGAAAGCTCTTAATATTTCTGAATTTTGAGTTGACTAACAAAGTTAGAATAAAAAACAGTTCTTTATTTAAATACTAGTTCTACCTTAACATAACAAAGTAAACGTAGAGCAACTCTGAGTTGTTTGGCTGATAGTAAAAATCTAGAGTACTTGAAATAATGTGCAGGGACCTCATTGTTCTTATTTCTTGACCTAATGAGTGTCTGTAAGATGTCAGTGATTTGTATACTTGTATACTTCTTATAATTGTGCATGCATGTCAACTTGTCTTTGTCTTTCCTGTTCTCAGTGAGATTAATTGATCTATCAACATCTGAATTATTTTTATGATTTCATTTTCTTTCCAGTGTGGAGCAAGAAAGGGTAGATCAAAGTGAAAATTTAACCTTGGAGAGCATCCGACACTCTCTAATGAGGCAAGATGATGCAATTATATTTAACCTTTTAGAGAGAGCACAGTACTGTTACAATGCTGACAACACATGTCATCAAAATGCATTCCACATGGATGGATTCCATGGCTCGTTGGTTGAATTTATGGCTAAAGAAACCGAAAAAGTACATGCACAGGTGAGCCGCAGCTCAAAAAGAATGTTAACAGCATCAAAATAATACAATTCTCTGTTTGACATTTTTCACTTTGGAATATAGGTTGGTAGGTACAAGGGCCCAGATGAGCATCCTTTCTTTCCAGATAGCCTGCCTGAGTCCATGTTGCCACCTATGGAATATCCAAAGGTAGACAGGTATCTCACATTTGTAATTCTTCAATAACAAGTTTATGTAAATATCTCCAGTGTGCCTTATTGGTTTTAAACATACTGCAGGGGTAAATGATTTTTTTGTATTTAGAAATTAGAAGTACTCTTACTCTAACATGCCTTGGCTAGTACTTTACCATAGCTGTAGTGAGTGCTTGAACCATACGTCGATAGCTTTAGTTACCTTATCGTCTCGTCATGCATGCATAGACCAAGCTTCCTGATCTATAGCTTTGCTACAGATAAATATAATGTAAAGCAAAGCTTTTACATCTTTCAATTCTCAACACGATAGCATTGTCTTATGCATTCTTATGCATGCAAAAAATGTCTCAAGTATTTTGCAGAATACTATCTTTTCTCTGCTTATCAAATTGATTTTCGATATTGGTGATATATCAAACTCGTTATAGGAAAATATTAAGATGAAAGAAAAAACAATGTGTTGGTGACACAAAGCCTGCAGTTACTCATTCTCTGTAAAGAAATAGAGAACAGTTTCGACTCTACTGTTTTTATACCTTGAATATAGAAAATTAAGGCATGATATTTTGATTATCCTAG